CCATGGTTTTGGAGTAAGAGTTGGTCTAGCTTAAAAGTGAACCTACTAGAGAGAAAATTGGGCTTGTTTTTCTATTTTGCTACTTTGCAAGGTTGGGGAGAGTGAGCCTGACATGAGTGGGTTTATTTTTCCTACAAGGAAAAACACTAAGCGTGTGAAACGTGGTCTGGCCCGAGGCTCTGATAAGTGTTGCTTTCTCCATCCTTATTTTGGGCTGGCAGGATGCGAGATCCCCAACAAAAAGGGCTTTCTTCCTCAGTGCCTTCCTTACAGATGGTAACAAACCCACAGGCCTTGGAGCAAGCAGGGGAGTGGGGTGGGGGGATAATTTCCCCAGTCTCATGGCTTTTGCTTTCTTTGGTCAACTACCAGGCTGACACTGCAAGTCCTATCACCCATCATGCAGGCAAGACCTGAGCTTCAAATCTCAAAAACAGCAAAACAAAAGCCCCTTTTATGGACAGGCCTTGTTATATATTGGGGAAGACAGCATAAACCCAGTTTTTTCCCCTCTCTCCACTGTCAGTTCATCTTTAAATACAATCCTGAATTCACTGCGCCTTGCTTCTCTTGAGTCAGCCTGGTTGAAGCCCACCAGGAGCTTTGAATGGCAGTGAATGTAGGGGAAGCTTTCTCCTTGGGACAGCAGCAGCGAGCTGCCTGGCTCTCATCATAGCTGCAGTGAGAGCTGTCGGACCTGGCTGCTGCTAATGTCTGGGGGGAGGAGGTGCAGGGGACGAGGTGGCCTGGGAGATGGGCAAGTGAGAAGGGAAGTCAACTGAGATCAATGAAAAACCACATGCATTTGAGGTTTAGCATACTGCGGCAGCAGTGCAAAGTGCCAATATAGATGCTCTGCGCTGGTGCAGTGTTACCTTTTTGGGGTGGTCATGAGTGGTTTGTCATAGTGAGGGACCCCAACAAAGTCAGAGGCCCCTTGTGTTACTCTCTGTACAAATACACTGTGAGAAAGCCCTGCCTCAGAGTTCACAGTCTACATAAACCAGATGGACAAGAGAGGGACAGAGAACTGATGCAGAGGTAGTGACGTTGTATTAGGTAACATGGGGGGGTCACTCTGGCAGAGCCAGGAATAGAGCAAGACCTGACCCCCTGTCCAGATGTGTCCTCACTAGATCTTGCTGGCTTGGCAAGTTTCGTGCATTCAGCCACACTTTCTTTTCCTATGCAAATATTATTTTAAGAACGAACCCTCCGCCTGCCCGTGTTTGTGAATGGACAGGACTCCAGCAGGTGCAGAAGAAAAATATTGATGCTAGGTGTGTCCTTAGGAGAACCTCTCCTCCACCCTAAAGGTGATGAGATGCTGTTGACCTATGCTAGCCCAGGTGGCACCTCCTGAGAGCGGATGTGATGGTGGAAGCGTTAGGATTTTGTAAGCAGAGCAGTGTTGCAGTGGCTTCTGCTGTGGATGTCTCCCCAGGGTGAAGGGTGGCTGCTGCATGCTGTCTGAGTGACGGAGCTTCACTGGGAAGCTTTTAATAAAGTATTTTCTAGCTGTTTAGCTACAAAATATAAAGTTGGGGATAAACTTTACAAAAGATGATTTTGCAGTAGCACTCGTATCTCAGCTCCCGCATTCAGGCCAGCCCCAGGACCATTCTGGAGCACGTGCTGCAGGAGTTCACAACCTTTTTAGACTCAGGACCCCCCTCGGAAAATGCCAGCTCTTAACTTTCACTCATTTTGTGATGGGGTGGAAAATAATTGAGCAGTGGTTCTATTGCAAAGAACCTGTAAAGCCCAAAACAGGGCAGAACATTGTTGACATTATAGTTTCCTATGTATGATCTTTGGGTTTATCTTGTGAATCATATGTAGGGGCTTGCACATCTAATGGTACTAACATTATGGCACCCTTAAAAAGGATCACATGGCACCCCAGGGGTACCGAGGCACCCTGGTTGAGCATCATAGATGCAGCAGCTGTGACTTGTTTGCCCAACATGTGCTGCTATCTCAGTAGAGCAAGGGTTGGCTGGCTGCAAAGCAAGGGGAACGTAAACCTGACCTGGGAATTTCCCACCCAGCCTGGCTAATATCTCTTCTTTCCAACCTATTTGCAGAGTAATGATCCCCTGTGCAAAAGATGCTGTATCGATGCCCAGTAGATTATTTCTCAGTCTTGCTGCTTGATAGTACTCTGTGCTGTCCCTTTGCATTGGCAATACTGACTCTTCTCAGCAAGGTGTAAAGAGCCTGGCTGCTTCATGTGCACCTGAGCTGAACCTCTGCCATAGAGGCTGGCAGCCTGATGAGATGCTTACTTTCTACCAAAACCCTGAAATTGGATAAATAATTGAAAACTGCTGATAAATCGTTCCCCCTTACCCTGTTTAAATTGTAAATGAGTAGTGATGCTGAATGAAGATCTGGGGGCGGGGGGAGGAGGAAGACTTTTGATTGCTCGATGTACTAAGATCACCCTCAATTATGTGGCTGCTTTTGACCCAAAACGTAACGGTTCTCTAGCTCTGAATCTTGGGGGCTTTTCCTAGCTGAAGTTGGCTTAAGCATCACTTCACCCTTCAGTTCAGGACTTGACGTGCAAGCTTATCTTGTCTGCTCACGCTTCTTCCAAGGTGCTTGCTCATTTGATGATGCCACCACAAAAACAATGGTAAACGGTTGGAGACGCAGCTTGTATTAGCATTAGTATACTGTTTTGGATGGGAAAGAGAGATATGCTGGAATGGGCTTAAAGCCAAGAGTAAAGGGGATTGTAATGCATCTTATAACCATATGGGCTTTCAATGGTGAAGGTAGCTTAAAGGAGTGGTGCAAATGTGATGGTTCAACATAAGACCAGATGCACAAGTTCATTGTAAAAATTCTCAGAAAAATAATTAATGATTGTTTGAGACTTAGTGGATTTTTTTCTTGAATTACCATGGTCCTCTTAAATTATGCCAGAAATGTAGACTCCATTTTCTATAGCTAAATGAGGGCACTTCTCTCGTGTTGCTTTAACAGTAAAAAATATTATCCCCGACCTAGAAGGGACATTTTGTCAGTGGTGCTGTTTAAGAGGAGATTTTTTTTTTTTTTGTAGCAGTTACTTAATTCTGGCCCCTTCTGTAGCTCAAGCTGCTAATGAGGTTGAGTAGCGAGCTAGGTCCATTTGTGCTGCTGTTCTTTTGACACAATCGGAACCTGCCAAATTTAAATTAAGATCGTAGTTTGTTTCCGCAGGTGAGAGGCAAAACAGTTCAGAGATTGAAAGCAAATGTTTGTTTGGCTGGCTTTGCAGCTGTTCCTTTACCTACCATAGTCATCAAATCTGCCAGTTCACCCAGCAGAAAATGAAAGAGAAAAAAATGCTGTTTTATCAGACCAGCTACAAGACCAGTCCCCATGCCAGAGGATACGTCCTCGCTCACCAGTTTACATATATAGTGCGGCAGACGTAATACTAAGTAGGAACAAACGCAAATAGCCAAGTAATTTTCGGTCTCTGCTGTACATATGGAAAGGAACCAAATTGCTAGTCTCCTCGAACCTCGTTTTTCAGCAAGGAGATGCGTGCTGTTGTAGAAATACAGGCAAAGCAAAAGAAATGTAATGAAAAGCACGTGGGGTTTTGGGGGGGAAGGGGCTGTATGTAGAGCCAGAGCTTGGCAGTCCTTGCAGGACGCTGTTCGGAAAACACAAACAAAAAGCCCTTGGCACGCTTGCAAGTTGGAGAGAGGGGACATCTCGGAGGGCAGAACCACACGCTGTGTGTAAGTGGCCAATCCAGAAACGTGAAGAAGACTTAAAATAGTCTGTGTTTAAAGTGCAACCCATTAGAAAGCAAGGCAAGTTGTTGGGTGTTTTCCCCCACAGTGGATTTTGTCGGACAGTGCCTTGCTTGTAAAAGTTACTGGGCCCAAATTTTACAGGGTCATCACCTCTGTGAACTAATTGCAATTTGAGCTCTGTTTGGATAATGTAAACTGTGTTCCCAGAAGCATGTGACCTCATAGATGATACTGGTGCACAAACAAACAAGCAAGCATGTGTGTGTGCGTGTGTGCACGTGGTCACTTGGAAACCCAGGGTTGAGTGCTGCATCAGCTTTGGGGTGAGAGTTTTTTTTATTTGGTCTTGCTTGGAACTGAAGCACGTGCATCAGTTCCCTACTGATTTTCTTCCTATCTGAGCGGCTGTTGATGCTGCCGCTCAAGCTCAAGGCAGCTCTGCTGATATTCGTAGCCGTGGAAGATGATGATGTTGGATGTCTGAAATGTGTGCTTATCATCATGGGGTGGATGTTGGAGGGCTTGGTTCTGTCCCTGCCAGGGCATTTCTTCTGATGCTGTAACTAAGCCCCAAGATTTTAGCTTTTAAAGGGTTGCATTTGGTCTCCACTTCACTTGATATCTAAGAATATAAGAACTACCCTGCTGGATCAGAACAAAGGGCCATCTAAGCCAGTGTCTTGACTTCTGACAAGTAGCAGATGATTTAGAGGAAAACTAAGAAACAGGCTTAGTATAGAGTCAGCCACCCCTTGTACCTCCTCCACATTACCAGCTGGCTTAGGGGTAGGGGTGTCCTGGCTGTTGTGCTTTTAATAGCTCTTGATGGGCCAAACCTCTATCATTTTATCTAATATCTTTATGAAACTGGTTATACTGCCACCAAATATGAAGGGTAATAGTGAGTTTCACAAGGTTAAAAGTTTTTCCTCATCTTTCTCTTTGCTTTGGTTTAAACCTGCTACCTGATGATTGAATTGAGTTACCTCCCTAGTTATGTATTAGGAGATGTTGTGAATAATAGTTCCTAATTTCCAAACTGGTTTTGATGACATGGGCTTCAATGTAGTATTCTGTAAATGTGTAGATTAACATGGTTTTACACACAGGCACGCGCACCTTGGTCATGACACTAGTGACCCATCCTGGGCTAATTGCTTATGGGCGGAGGGGGGAGAGGTTACCTCCTTAAATCGGACACCGAACCAATTTGTGTTTGTCCTTTTTTGTCTCGTGCAGAGTGCAGCTGCAGCCCCGAGTCCAGTCCTTGGAAACATTCCTCCTAACGATGGCATGCCAGGGGGTCCCATCCCTCCGGGTTTCTTTCAGGTAGGTTTGGACTTTCCTGATTTCTCTGTCGGTGGTGGATGAGTGTGTGCATGGATTCTCAATGTCAGCGCTGCAGTTACCATCGGGGTCCCATGCTCGACTTGGAAGTTTCACCCTGCTCTCTCGTTCTTTGGCTAACTCAGCATTTTCGTTGGAAAATCTATTATAAATAACTGTAACCTTTGACTGTTTTTCTACTTTTTTTCTTTTTGCCTGAAGCACGTCAAATTCTTCTCTTGCTTAGAGAGATTCCTTACTTTTTTTTTTAGCAATTGATATTTTTTCCAAAACGAAGGGTTGGGTTTTTTTGGGTGGCGGGGGTGGTTTGGTTGGGACTTCATTTATTTTCTGGTCATAACAGGCTTGTGCATAATTCAAAACATTCTGGATTTGAGTTCTTGAAACCTTTTCCCTCTGGTTAACCACTTGATTTTTTCCAACTGCAATCACTGAAAGCATTTAACAAATGCTAGCTCAAGTACTAGCCACAGGCAGGCGGGGATTCAAAATGGGCCAAAATGTATTGAACGTCGAGGAGACACCTTGTCAGAATTTGTGTATCACCGGCTCTCAGATTTTCTTCCCTATTCTAAAGCTGCGTTTTTTGTCTTCGCCCTGATTCTAGACACAGTAACATAATCTCCGAGAGTTTCTAATGGAAAGATCTTTAAAGAGCATTTGAAATGGAAGTTGTCAAAAATGTATGACGTTTAACATGTTTTTTAACTTCTCCTGGAACGTCTTTGCATACGTGCTCGTTGTAACTACATAACATCTTGGTGCCTGGAAAAAAAAATATATATATATATATATGTATTACTACTTCAGAATAAGCGACTTGTTCTTGTAACAAATGGGCCCAGCGGTTGGCAGCAGCATTTGTTCTAGCAAGTTGCTTTTGTCGTCTGGGTTCGTGATTTGTATACAGGAGAAATTCTTGGCCAATAGACAGTTTAACTAGATAAACTGGTAGTGATTTATTATGGCACTACCTGAGGATGGTATCACAATTAGTGTGCGTGTATGGGAGTTTGGCAAAGAAGAGGTTGGTTTAAAAACAAAATCTCATTTCCTGAAGAGGCTTACGACAGAATGAGAATGTTTGATTTTGATTAGGAGCCCTAAACCAGGCTCGTCTTGTAGTAAAACCTCTTCCATATAGGTGCAGTAAACAGAAGTGGAGATGATATCTTGCAGGCTATAGCAGCTGTCAGCAAGTCAAGTTCTGCTCCTTGCTTGCAACAAATGCGTTTCCAGGGTTTTAATTTCATTCTCTTGGGCAGGGAGATGTCCTTCCGTAGCCTCACCTCTGCATGTATAGATGCAGACTTGTAGGGAGTCCACGATTCAAAGCAGGTGCAAAGGTCATAGGTTTTATTCTCTGCTGGGCAATTGGTGGCAGAGGAAGGGGACTTAAGCTCCTTTTGCAGTGACCCCAGATGATGTTCAGGTCTTGGTGTTCCCCTGGCTTGGGCTTTAGGCCTCTGTCCTCCATGCATGCCGTGCTTTTTTTAAAGGACACTTTCATCTTTGTTTCATTTACTAAATGACCCTGTGAGGTCCCTGCTAGCCCTCCTTTATTGTCCTGTGAGCCCCTGACACTAACTGGACTCACCCCAGTGCCTCTGCTGGAGTTGGTGTTACTGGGGAAGGCTGGTTCCCAAGCAGCAACTCGCCGGTCTCCAGTGATCCAGCTCAATGTCTGGGGAAGCTGAGCAGAGATAACATGCCATACAGACGGGCTGTGTGTTGTGGAAACTCCCTGTGAAACGTAGCCCTTTTAGCTGATTTTCTGACCCAGGCACAAGAAAACTTGGAGCAAAACAGGCTTGACCTTTAGTTCAGTGATGGAAGTGTGAAGTGAAAAATACCTGTTGTTGCAGATTAGCAGTCAAACACTTGGCTGGCCAAAGACTTTACAAGTGATTGCCTTTCCTTGAAAGGCACCAGACACCTGCTTCTCATCGGGGGGTGATGGAGGCAAGGGGGGATCCCATCTTTTAATACAGTCTGAACTTTTTGGCCAAAAGCACCTTAACCTCTTTGAAATGCTCAGATCATTTCCACTTGAGACCACAAGTTTTTTGTGCAGCCTTGTCCGGGGGTTTCTGTGTTGAGTCACTTGCTGGGTTGGTTGGTTTTTTTTTTGGGGTTAATCTCTCTGCTGGAAAATAAAATACTGAGCTTGGGAGGGCACAGCCAGAAAGGTCACAGGAAATGTGAAGGAGTGAAGTAGTTAAGGTTTTTCTTTCTGGTTTTTTTTTTTTTCATACCAGCTAGAAGATTTTTGCAGTGCTTCCCTAGCAGCCAGATGAGAGCGAAAAGCAAACCTGAGGTGGTGGAAGTGGAACATGGAATCAAATTGCAGGAGACCATTGAATCAATGGAAAAACAGGGAATTTTCATGAGCTGCTGTAACAAAATCTTAAGCTCTTTGAAGTCTGCCGTACATTTGAGTTCTTGCCTGTTTAGTGGTTAATATGGATTCCTGTGATTTGTACAAACGAATACAATTCAATTGTAGAATAGCATTCACTTCTGCAGAACTTCACATGCAGAAAATACCTTGATTCTCTCCCTAGCATGAACTCAATGAGAGATAAGTTAGCGGGTGGTTCAGAAAGCCTGAGGACAAGAAGGGAGGAAGGGATTGTTTTAAAGAAGGATTCAGAGAAGGAAGATGCCTGCCCCATGAGGACGCAGCTTGTTCCAGCTATCGGGGTGGCATGGCAGGAGACGCCAACTGAGGAAAGGAGGTAGAAAGTGGAGACTGTTCGACCAGCTGAGCCTGCCTCGGTGCGATGGAGGAAGGTGACTGTGCAATTACAGGGGCATGAAAAAGGGTGCTGGTTTGGGGGGAGAATGGTTCAGAGATGACTGGACTTTTTTGGAGAGGTGTGGATGCTGGCTTGACCAGAGAGGGAGAAATCAGGGTTGGGGACAGGGTTTTTGGGGTGCATTGGCAGAGAAACCAAACCCAGGGAAATGAGGTGGGTCATAATACAGCTGAGAAATGCTGATGAGCCTGACAGGCTGCCTGGATCCATAAGTTGGATAAGGGGGGGTCTCTAGGGCTGGCAGGGAGTTCCCACAATCCTCGTCGTGAAGCCGTTTTTAGTGCAGACGATGGCCTGTGGGCCGAGTGTGCAACTCGCACGGTTCTGAAATGTAGCTGCAGGCCACAGCTTGGTATCAAAGAGGAGGGCGCCCTGAAGAGATGAGTCCCAGCACACCCGGCCCCATCTGCAGGTCACAACTTCATAGCGAGCGATGGAGCGCCTTGCAATCTGTTCCTTTCCATATGAGTTGGCCACGACCTGCAGCTTCACAGTAAGCACAGGCTTTAGCTGGGCAAAGTTGGGGGAGCCCAGGTCGCAGAGTACTGGCCAGTAAACCCCGCTGCTGCTGGGCACCTCCCCAGAAATGAAACGCTTCGATGAATACTGTGTCCACACACATGTGGTTTCAGAATATCAATGAGCGGGTGGCAGCAAACTGCGCTGCATTTAGCCTGCAACTATCGTGCAGATGAAGGTTGTCCAAACAGCAGTCACGTGGCTGGTTACCTTTTTAAAATCACCTTCCCCTCCTGACTGATAATGATATATGCTACCAAATACATATATCTCTTCTGTCTTCTTCATAAAGGTCTTGGAAATCCTTTCCACCCCTGTTAGGGAGTTACATTTATGCCTAGTCTCAAAAGCAGTAGAAAAGATCTCTTCGTTTCCTAGCGGTGGACAGAAGGGGGTTATTTGATCATGGGGAAGGCAAAATTGAAAGCTAGAAGCAAGTTTAGAGCTTTACTAATGATGCCATGAAAACAATTGTGTGTAAAGCAAGGGGAGGGGTGGGGGGAATGTGTGCACACCCATGTGCACGCGTTGTGAGCATATGTACGTAATAATGAGACAAACTCAGTGGCAATGCATCTCTCCCGAATTTGAACTCTGTCCATAGCTCTGTACCACTCTCTCTGATGAAATGGAAAGTTGAACATAAATCAATGTCTGTGGCTGCGTTAGCTATGCATCAGCAGTTAGTGCGAGAGATGCACCATAACAAAGCCCTGGTTAGTCGGTGTTCCTACACTGCCCCCTAACGCCTAGAAACCTCGGGAGCCGTGCGAGGCGCTGGGGCTCCACAGTTCATTTTTCATTTGGCTCCTTGCTGTTCGTTGCCCAGAATAAATGTGGTTGCTTGCTGGTGTGTAATCCTGTTGGTAAAACAAAAACACAACTAGCGGAGGCACAAGTGAGGCACTATCTGTAACACTTAATCCCCTAGGTGAGGCTTTCAGGCTCCCGTTCCTTTTTTGCCACTGCAGCAGATGCGTCTCTCTCTCATTTCTAAAGCCTTGATTATTACACTTCTTACAATTAAATAAGAACTTCTTGTGTGAGTGGCTTATTTCTCTTGCATTGAGAAATTATGTGGATATCTTGTTGTTCAGTGAGGGGTTTTTTTTCCCCTTGGGTTTTCAGCATAAACACATCGCTCCTGGTTGTGTAATAGAGCTGATTGTGTGCCCTTACTTGCTAATAAACCGGAGGCAGTCTGTTCTCACTCTTCACAATATCAGAAGAGAACCGATCAGTTATTTTTAAAGCAAGGGGGATATCCTAGTACTCGAAGATCCAGATTGGTCTGTCCCTATTCCCCGGTTAAAAAGCAAAGGGCTTTTCAGTGCAACGCTGCTGGTCCAGCTTCTGCATTCAGAATATCCAGTACTTTTGCTGGGGCTGTGTGAGGAAACCTGAATTTGAGCCTGAGTGCCAGGTCCTTGTGTTGTGTTTCTTGCCACAGCTGCAGAGGTCTTTCCTCCATCAGCCTTTGCCTTGGGGAGAGGACAGCCATTGCAGGGACCAGGGGGTATTTGCATTTATCAAGCGCTTGTGTAGGAAGTCAACCCTGACGCTCACACCAGGCCAGAGAATTGAAGTCCCCCTCCTTTCAGCCCAACTATGTTGCTCCGTTACTTGATCATGGAGAAGCTAAAA